ATTGGATTTTCAGGAGACAGGAGGAAATGGACCTTTGGCAGATGGTTAATATTCTGGTAAATGGTGGCTCTATCTCTGTGCATTAGCTGATTTATACTGGCGTAATGATACATCTTTTTCCCTCTAGGATGGCTTGCTTGTACTGCACTATGGCCTTGTGCTATCGCCGCTGACAATAACTTAGACTGCTAGAATATCAGAAAGTGAAAGGATCCAAAACACGATGCTTCTTCAATGCTGTGTCTCACCAAAGAAGCCCAGCCTCCTTGGTTCCTGTCCCAGGAAATAAATGAAACCACCACTAACTGCTGTACACTTATAATTTAGCGTATGACTTTGCCACAGTAAGAAATGCAGCCTTTGTAAGTACAGTTGTAAACACTGCAGCGCTCTATATTCAAATGATACTCCTTAAACTCTAGCTAGCTCAGGGAAAGCAGAATACTCAGAGTTGCTGAACTTATTTTTAAATCCTTCTTAAATCCACCCAGTTGCACAGGGTTAACTTGTTTTCTCCTCCACTAAAATTAATCCTGGGCAGGTCCCTAACTATTTTTATCTGCATAAAACCTTACCTACTTATGAGGTATATGGCTGGAATGGTGCTCTCAGGAATGATCTGCAGTGAGTGGTGTCCCTTTTATACAATCATTTGTCTAATAAGACTGTTAGCAGCAGCTGACTTGATTTAGAAATAGTGGGGGAGGTGGGGTGTTCTAGCTTGTACATAGGCCAAAACGGGTGATCAACTTCCTGTGGGTTAAATATTGACTTTGTTAGTTCTACCAGAAACAGAATTAAGATATTGTTTCTTGTCAAGGAAACAGCTTTCATCTGAACTAGGTCCAGAACTGATAGTAGCTAGACTCATGTTAACTACTATGTAACTATATAGCTCATGCTTCTGCTGTCAACATGGGTGGGCCAATAGATTATGCTGTGCACAGAGGACATCAGTGTACAACCTTCCCCTATATCTGTGATAAATGTGAAATAATTAGACTTTCAGCCTATTCCCATTGAAGTCAATCAGCTGACTTGCCTGGAAACTGTATCAGGCCTTTCATTTTTAACACCTCTCCTCACAGCCCCAGCAAAAATGGAGACCCTCACATTCACTTCGAAGTAGCATGTTGCAATGACCTTTGAATGCATTAAGGGGTAGACCGTATTTGAGGCTGCTATTGTGTGCAGGACAATGGAATGAACATCTGTTATTACAACAGCTTCAATAGCTGCACAAAGACTATTAGATAGTTTAATTTTAACATAACTGTAGTTATGATCACTTAATATTTTAATATTCTGTTCTGCTTGTTATAACACTTGAATGATTTCTTCCACAGATAAAAAACAGAGATATGCATGAGTAGGGTTTTACTGCATAGACTTAAAGCCAGATTTCAAGGTAACCAGATTCCTAACTCCCATTGAGTTTTATGAGACTTAGGTGTCTAACTGCCCTTTAAAAATCTGGCCTGCAAGTCTTTAAGACCAATGTTTGTTTTGCCTATGAAGATGACACTTTAAGAAAAAATCTTGTTTACCTACAGTCACTCCTTGTGATGCTTCTAAAATGTTAAAAGAAACTAATAGCTGAGATTTCTGATTTATTTTCAAGGTTTGTATAAAAGTAGTGCTGAAAATGAAGCAGAAAAAGGGATTATTTTGTAAACACTTTGTGTATTGTATTGATAAGAGATTATATCTTGTAAGAATTAAATAAAGTCTTTATTTTAGTCTACTTGGAATTCTTATGTTGTAAGAAATACTTATTGCAAGACAGCTCTTCACTTTTCCCCAAAGTAATAGCCAGTGAGATTAGTAAAATGACTACTAAACATTTTTACTTAATCAGAATCCACAAGTTTAAATGAGGAAATTAAAAAGTGGTATTTTAAAATGCCTGATATCAGTGGGGACTTGGAAATTTTATTAATTGAGATGCTGTGAAATCTCTGGTGGCTGTTTTTTATGAGGACTCTATTTAAAAAAAAAAACAGAGGTTGCTAACAAGTGAAGACAAGAATATGTTGCCACAAACATAGGAGGCTGTAGGAGTCTTCATTTTTGGACCCTTCCTTTTTTCATTGGGTGCATCCATGTGTGTCCAGGTCCATGGCAGCTGTGCAGCCTAGTGGCTAGGTTGCAGAGTAAGCAGGAGAAACAGGGGACGCTGGTCCCCTGGTCCAAGGACTCCAAGCCACTCCCTAGTCAAGCCCTTAAGTTTGGGACCTGGACCCGAAAGTCCAGATTCCCTTTAGCTGGGGCTTCTTAGTAGGTTCCCCCTTTTTCCCAGAGTGGGGGCTTACTTGCTCCCATGCCCTGCTGAGCGGATAGGCTCTGGTTCGGGCCCTGAGACTGCTAAACCAGGCTATTGCCACCTTGGTGGTCCACCCCAAACTGAACCTTTTTTTCGCCCTCCAGGCCTGGCATTGGCTGCAGGTAAAGCAGGGCAGGGCTAGCTGGACCCAGAGGCTTTCTTTAACCCCTGGGGCGCCAGGCCCTCTTTTCTCCACTTCACACCATGTTGTAATGCACTTCTTGTCAGACTCTCTGCTTGATCCATTTAATCCAGGTAATCCATTTCTTATCAGAGCCAGTATGGCCATGTCTCTGGCTTCCCATCTGATCTTCCTTGCTTGATACATGTCATCAAGCCATCAATATGGCTGCTTCCGGATTTATTACCACTTAATTTACTTTTGTTCTGTATGTACTATTTTAAAGAAATGACTATTAACAATTTAGTCGTGGGCTGGACTAGGGATATGAACGACTAGTCAGCTATCGATGAGCAAATGCTTGTCGGATAGTCAATGCACTAGTCACTTCCCCCCCTACCCTTGCTGCCTCTATCAGAAAGAGGCAGCAAGGGGGGGCAGCGTGAAAAGAAGGGGATGCTTCAAAGTGGCAGCGCCGCATGGAGCCTGGGGACTCCCCGGCTGACCCTGGGCTCCATGCAGCGCTGCAGCTTTGAAATGCCGCAGGGAGCACAGGGCCAGTACTCGGGGGACTGCTTAAGTCCCCTGTGGGCCCCGTGCTCCCCTCAGCGCTTTCACATTTGAAGTGTAGCAACATCCCTGGGGCTGTTGTTACACTTCAGAGGCAGAGGCACCCTTATCGACTAATCAAACAGTCAATGCATAACTATTTGATTAGCCAATTAATCTAAATGTAACATCCCTAGGTTACACTGTGAATTCTCGCTTCGTCCAAGTGTGTTACATGCCTACAAAAAGGCTTATTTTAAAAGACAAATGGCCTTATAAAAGCCTTGACTAATTAAAATCAGGGTTATTCCAGAATGTCCATCATCGTAATAGACCATTTGTACCTACAATGCTGATTCTTGTAGAGTCTCCAAATTACAGTGTTATCATTCAGAGCTGCCCTCCCAGCCATGAAACCTGCCACTGTTTCTGATGCAGAAGTCGGTCTCTCTTTCAATAGAAAATCACATTGATGGCAATAAGCCTAATCCATTTGCCTTGGTTGGTTGGTACTGTGCACATAGAGCAGTGACCGCGGCAGTGGATCCATTGCAGGTTGCTGTCTTCATGCCCAGTTTTTGCCATATCCCTGAAGAAAGTTTGCAGTAAACCCATCGCCAAGTGGCAGCCACAGTGTTAACATGCAACGGAAGAGAATTTAAAAAAAGTATTTTCCCTCTCTTCCTTTTTTCCACTTCTCTCTCTTCAGTGCCTCCACACAACACAACCTCAGCCCATTCTTCTGACCAAGGAGGCCTGAAAACAAAGCATTCTGCTGCCCTGCCATGCAGCATGTGTTCAGTGTAGCTCAGGTCATCTTTTGTCAAGCTCCTGTAGCGCTTCATCACCCTTAGTGCTTCATCAGGTACTGTTGGCATTTGACACAGAGGGGGATGATGTCTGGTCAGTACCAGGCTGATCTGTGGGCTGGTCAGTTTGCCTCATGAAAGTTACGCTTGGTTCTGTTTGTTTTTAAGATATCAGTCTCCTTTCACTCCCCTGCAGCTGCCTTTGTGGCTGCTTTATTTCCCGTTCATTTCTCTCCTAAGTCTTTGGCTTTCTTCCAGTCCCTTTTGACCCTGTGCATGGAAGATCTGAAGCAGCAGGCCCTCTTTGGAATAGTTTCTATGTCTTTTTGGGAGATGTGCCAACTTCTCGCTCTTGAAGGAGAGGAAGAGGGTCAGGGAGCAGTATAGCTGTACCACAACTCAGTTCATTTTTGTCTTATTGGAGAGAACAGTTGCTCTTCTTTCTAGTTTCTTGCATGTCAACAACGTGGCTAATAAATCTTGTCTAAACGTGACTTGTGGAGTAAGTGGATTTAAAGTGCTCCTGACGTGAGCTGGCAGAGTCGCATCTGAGTGGGTTCAAAATGGAGTGATTTTGAAAAGAAAACAGGGTTACAATCCTCAGAATGTTTGAGCTTCACCAGTGATGTTAGCAAATCCACTTGTTTCATCTTCAGGGCTGTCTGCTTCCTACAGATCCAGAGCTATGAGGAGAAAAGCACAGAGGTATGTGAAAATGAGCAGCTGAGAGTCCTTTCATCCAGAAAAGATGGGAATGAGCTACCTTACCCCGCACATAGCTCTTTGCTGCAGCACCAATAGAACCTTAAACGCTTAGTTCTTCAGACACAAGGAGAGTTCAGCAAAATACATTGACAAGAGGCTGGTCTGTGTTGGGTTCTTCTTTTCAGTGGCTCATCACCTCATCCCCTGCGCAATGAGTTAACACATGTTAAAGTTCAGCACAGTACTTTCAGATTACACCCCTCAGCCCCTGTTTCTGGGTACGTCTGCACAGTAGCTTATACCTCGAAATAAGCTATGCAATTTGAGCTACACAATGGCTTATTTCCAAATGTGGTGCTGTCTACACAGTGCTAAATTTTGAAATAAATCGCTATTCCGGTGTCTTCCTTAATCCTCGTGCAATGAGGTGTACAGGAAGCTGGAATAAGAAGCCCATTATTTGGAATGTATTTCGAAATAGCAGGCTTCTTGTTTAAACAGCACAGAACGCTATGGGAATAAGAAGCCCATTATTTGGAATGTATTTCAAAATAGCAGCTTCTTGTTTAAACAGCGCAGAACGCTATGTTGGGAAAATGGATGTTATCCCGAAATAGCGCTGCTGTGTAGACGTACCCTCTATCTTCCCTCAGGTTCTTGTGAAATCTGCATCTCATCCCTCCATGCTTAGCATCCGGTAACCCTACCAGCTGAGAGGTGGCTTGCAAACACTAGAGCTGGAAGCTGTTATGTGTTTTCTTTTAAAATTGAGGTGCACTGAAATGCCATGTATGTACCTTGTATTCAGTATATGTCCAGTACATAAATTGTCTGCTTAAAATCTATGGGTGGTTGTAAGATTACTCATTTTGTTGTGTTGGATCCCTGCTGAGAGGCAGACACATTCTGTGGCAAACTAACAACGTTCTCATCAGAGGTTCTTTTCCACCTCCTTGTTTATAACCAGTGAACCAGTTTAACCCAATGGAAGCAAGCTGTTAACACTAGTTTCCCACCTTTGTCTTCTATTGTTTGAGTAAATTCCCTGCCAAATAGTCAAGAAATCTGAGGCTTTCTGGTGGTTCTAACAGATTGCTATAGATGCGGGTTTTATCATTAAACTGCTGTAATGTGCATTGTGTTGCCTTTAGACATTAATGACAACCCATTTCCAAATGAAACAGTTTTGATTGACTGCAGAATGCTTTTCCATGTTGGGTGGCATGATATTATCTGTAGTGCTTTTTGATTAGTTCTGATGGTGATTGGTTTTGGTTTTGGGGGTGCTTTTTTGGTGGGTCAGTGCTGGTTTGATACTAATGTATCTCTCTAAATATGTGGTTCCCAAACTTTTTGGCATCACGCCCCCCTTTTTGATTTTTGAAAAACCCTCCCCCCGCCCAAATAGCAGCAAAACTTGTTGAGCAAAAAAAAAAGGAAAAAAGGAACTAAACAGGGCAGCAAAACTTGATGGGGGGGAGGCTGGGTCACCTCGCGCCCCCCTGGAATTTCTTCACGCCCCCCAGTTTGGGAACCCATGCTCTAAAAGTAAAGGCTGGATATTTTGGGAGGTTTTGTTTAGATGAAAATAAGTTCTTTGGAAGCTTCCAATGCCCATTTTTTCCTAAGTGAAATGTTAACAATAGAAAACTTGGTCACGTGTTGTTGGATTTGGTTGGTTGGCAGAGATGGTTTGCTTCATAATGTGTATCCTATTGTGTGTCTCTTTGAAACCATTTTTCACTTGGTGGATGAGAACAGACATTTGTTCCAAGAGATCACAGGGCTTTCTGAATGTATTCTCGTGGGGGGAAGGGGTGTGCTGTGATGAGATAAAATATTACTTTGATTGTGGGGGGCCAACACATCCGTTCAGGAACAACACGATATTCGTGGGTATCCCTATCTTTGAAAGGCAAACAGCGCCCACTGGGATGCAACATTTTACAGCAGTAGCAAGCATCTGTAATCTGTTCCCTTTATGCCCTATGAAAAGTTATAACTTACCAGTGGCAGTAAATCCAAAAAACCCCACCACGTTTCCTTTTGTAAATGCCACAGCTTGAAGAACCAGGAGGATGGCCATTTACTCTAGACATGAAAGGTGTGTGTGTGAGCTTGTGGACTGGGCTGCAGAGTGGAGTCAGGACAGCTGTGTTGTGTTCCCAGCTCCCTCGGTGACTTTCAGCCACTGTTTTCTCAGTAATAATACTCACCCACTCTTGTAAAGGGGTTGACAAGCTC